TCCCTCCCCGGTCGAGCCGACCCATTCGTGCTACCACGTATCAATATGTTTTTATGATTTATTTTTACCGTAGTCATACCGTGCCGTATATTAAAAATACTTTTCTGTAAAATTGCGTATCTCAATGCTCAAGTTAATGAAGCAATGGCTCATGATGGGCCATGCATAACTAGACATAATGATTTATACCGTCCAAAATACTATTGGTTAACTGTAAACTAATATTGTGTGAAAGCTGATCTTTAACTTATTCTCTTGCTTACGCAATTAATTAACAGCAATAAAATGGCGTAACGAACTACGCATTCAGCTTAGTGAAATTAAAATCGAACCATACCGTAAGCCGAGTACGTGCCACATTATTGTACCTGAACTGACGGACGTCATAACAATATTTTTTTTAATATTAATTTCGCATACTAGACAATATCAATAGCAACACTGCATACTACGATGTAACACTGATCAGCTTTACTGCATAGTAAACACCTACTCTTCTTTGGATGTCCTAGCAAAATAACCCCAAAGAACCGAACATCAAATAATATAGCATTGAAAACCTTCACGGAATCAACCTGCACGTCGCCTGGGTCGAACTTTATACTGTTTAAACTAGTGTGGTGGTATCTAGTACTACCATCAATTATCTCTTTTTATTTCGTTTATTTTCGTCTTAAAAATTATATATTTGAGATTCAAAAAGGAGGAGGTTCTCAATTCAAGTTTTTTTTTTGTATGAGATTTGATTGATATACACTTGAAGGGTGAAAAAAAATTTCAAATTTGGAAAAAATTTCACTCCTAAGGATAGCAAATAAATAACTTCTTGTGAGCAAATTTCAAGTAAAGAAAAGTAAATGCGTTGTCGCTCCTAAACTTAAGCAGTGAGTACAAAAACGGAATGAATCATATTATAATTATACTGATTCTCCAAACTTTCTGAATTTTCAAACTGGAACAGCGTAGAAGATAATACAAGATGGCTGTTTAGAAACAAAAATAGGTAAGAATGTAGTCGCTACACTAGAAGGCAGAAAAGGAACCGTAAACCGCCTAAAGAATCTGCTAATATTTTATAACGATATGTTTCATTTAACTTTTAACGGATTTATACTGTTTATAGATTGACAATTATTATTTTCGGAAAATTTTGTAAAGCAAAGCCCTTGGAGTATTCGGTACACAATATCAAACATAATGTGATCGACACAATATCTAGTATTTGAATATATTATACTTATACTTGGATAATGTAGGATACTACATTATCTAAATTAAATCCATTGGAAAGAAATATTTACCTCGAGGTTTTTTTGTAACCTTCTTATTAGTTGCCATATTTTAATTATTATACTTGTTTGTTGTGCTTTTTAAATTTTTCTTAATGTTGCTGTCGTATAGAGTAAAAAGATTCTCAATAGAAATATAAAAATAACTGCCAAATATAGACATCGAACAGAAGTGGAACATCAAGAACATCACTTTAAATAAAAAATACGACTATTTTTATAAGGATGACTTGGTTCAAGATACTGTACAGATCCTGTTACAGTTTTAATTTCAAAGCGTAAATCAAGGTGATAAACAACATGATTATGTATAAAACAAATTAAATGTCAATCATTCACACTTCTGTTAAATAAGGTTTTGATTCTGTCTAAAATATATTTCGAAAATGTAAACGTTTTAACCGTTTTAACGAGATTCGAAACCAGAAGGGTAAATAAATTATGTTTTGTTTTACCATTATTTATAAACAATGTTAGATTTGCGATCCTTTGTGGTTGGGAAGGTTTTCTGTGTATTTCATCTTGTAAAATATTTTTTTTAATAACTGGCTTTACGGCTCTGGGATCTAGCCCTTCAGAGCCTGAAGTTACAATATCTTATAATTTTCCTTCATAGTATACTGCTTCACAATATGTTGATGCGTCACATTGTACAGCCCTTGGGAGATTTTGACGGCAACTTGAGCCAGCAGACAGCTGACGGTTGGCGATGGTATCTCAAGGCGCCTAAGCAGACAGACACCTTATTTCGAGAATCACATCACCATGAGAGCACTTGTTTCACAGTTTCCACTAATAGTTCACATGCGCAGACACTTAATACACAAAATCGCACCACTTTTACATATCAAAGTCCACTTCAAACCATTATTTAAACAATAATACAGGAGCAGCAAACCGCCGCCGATGAAGTTCCCGCCAAAACTCTCTTATAAAATAATCATGTTAACTTTAACAGAGCAATGAGCAATTTAGTTCTACTCGTATCATTTGCGGAATATCAGTCAAACAACTTAAATAACAATAAATAGTCAATAACGTTAAATCCTTACACAGATTGTCTGTGTCTGTGGTTTCTCCAAAATTTATGTTTATAAAATTATGACTATATACAAAGGTAACCGGGGTAACGTTTGTTTTGGGGAAGCATAAATCTTTTACACAATTTAAACGGAATCGATGCGATTGAAGATTTATCTTCTAACTTTAATGGAGCGGCAAAAACGGAATTGCTGGTGTCGTCGTTGGTTTAATCCTGCCGCAATTAATTATAATGAGCTTCTTTTCCCGCAATTTGACAAGGTAATTTCATACTTATAAACTCTCGATTTTAACAATGGATTTCTTTAGCGTGATTTGGTACTTTGATATTAAAATAGAAATTGTTTATAATTTTTTTAAATCTAATCAAACACTCAAATTTAAAATGTAGCGTCGACAATTTTCTCATTCGGTATTCAAATTATAAGTATGCAATAAGAACATGATGAAATTTTATAGGGATTAGTGTATTGCGAACCGTACAAGAAGCCCCACAAATACGGATATTTGATACGCTAAACCCTCGTAATTACAGAGCGTGTGCAGCTAAAAATTGGGCTAATAATTACCTTTGTTTGTTTTTAACTCAATTTTTTATTTTGCAGTTTCAGAATGACTCACGTTTTCTTTTTACGTAATAAGAAGTGAGGAACAACCTTATTATGCGAATCAATACAAAACCTATAATTCATAACTACCATTATATTTACTGGATTTATTTATTAAAGTTGCTCAAAATTATGATCAATTTTTTTTATTCAGTTCAGTTGTAAGCCAAGGAAACTACTAACTCCTGCGTTAAACATATTAACAATAAATACAAATAATATTTAGAATAGTCGATGTCGTCGTTGAATAAAAGGTTCACATACCCTTTATTCAACGACGACCAGCTATATTTCACTGAAATAGGCGTAAATTTTTTAAAGTAAGCAAGTACACAGCGAAGATATATTTATAAAAGTTGATGAAGATGTCACCACTTCCGCAGATCATCAAAGAAATCTTAATTTGAAACTATATTACCCAAGCGTCTTCTACATGCCATTTCATATTAATGTCACTGTAGCGAAAGAATATTTCACATCAACCTAATGTTTATAAAATTCTATTGGTTATTTTCGTCTGACATTTTGAATTGATTACAGTTTCCTGTGTGCTTAGCTTAGATATATTTTTAAAAGGTTTATCATTTACAAAAAAATATGAATTCACACAAAATTAAATTGGCTTAAAGTATGTTTGGATTACAGAAATCTCTAATCTGAAAAGATTTTATAATCTGAGACTGAAATACCTATGTTAATGCACAGAATAAATAATATGTTTAATGTAAAGATTTTTTTATTTCACTACCTATAGAAATATTGAAAATCTCTTTAAAATACATTTGACTGATTCTGCATATAAATCTTATAAATATATATTGAATATTATATGCCGCTACATTCATATGTTTCGTATTAAACTTATAGTGTCCATGTGTGACAGTGTGAGTGTAATAAACACGGAGTCTGTGACGTCACATTAATTTGATCAAAGTGAAAACTCGAGCGTTTTCCACGCTACTTGTTTCGAGTTGCTGTCAACGGCCCAACTAATGCTTCCGTCGGCTTCCAATTTTAAACTTTTGATGGTGTTTACGGCCGTGCCGTAGATTTATGGAGCGGTCGATTTTCTGGTATCAATTTCGTCAATTTCACGGATGAGTCACGTTTTACTCTACTGTGTGGCAGGTGAACTGTGTCAAGGGAATTAAATCGAGTAGCGAAAAATGGACCAGTAAATTCAACACAATTGAGGCTTTACAAATTGGTCGCTTGCGTACCCTATAGAAGTCGTAGAGTTCTTTAATGGTAACAGTGGTACCAATAGGTCTACCTCCAAACATTTAATGGGAACTTATACAGTAACTACAATAATGTTATCTCATGCTTTACTTGTACATTCAATGCAATGTTATGGATCATCTTTTCTACGATGTTTTATTCTATTTACTTATTATTATTTTTATTTTTATTATATAGTTTTTATTAGCATTAGTACAAGTTTTATCACACACATTTTTAAAAACTGCGTTGCAAAACTCTACTAAACCGTAAATACCAAGTCATTCTCAAGTACTCAGACAGTTGATCTTACACATTTAATCTTCTTATGTGTTTATTCTAGTATTACTCGTCGAGGCTAAGCTATAAAGTTTCTACAAGCACTGTCAAGGCCGTGAACAAAACGCTTGTATTTTCTTAGACGACCTCGTAAAGTGTGAAAGATCCTTAAAATTATGGCTTTTTAGGAATTTTCATCCAGCGAATTAAGCAGTAAATATTAATTTGGACCGCTACGTCGCTTCAAAGGGTAGTTGTTTTGAAAGGATTTAATTATTCGTGTCTTATATAATGTTATAGTTAAATTTTTAATGTTTTTGTAACGAATTATCAATAAAAAATTTAGATTTTTTTTTAGTGAAAATTCGTAGATTTAATTGTGTGCATTTGCATTTCTGATATATTTTAACACATGTATTGTTTGAGAGGAAAGGAAGGGCAAAACTAATTTCACTCTTTATCACTTAAATTTTACAAAGTTCATTTTTATTTTTTATTTCATTGTAAATTAAAAAACAGTAGGAAATAAGCAGAATATTAACCTATCATATTGTTCACATAGGTGTCGCGACCCGAAAACCGGCGCTCGGTTTCAGTAGGCGCCGCTGGGACAGGCTTGGAAAGGCACTCGTATGCCGAGGGTCGAGTCCCAGCGCCGCATGGGCCACCGCCTTCGCCAGGCGCAGTGGCAGCACAGCGAAAAGTCGAAGCAGCCTGCCAAGCTAGCAGAAAACTGCTCGAGGAGATCCTTGCGAAACCTGGTGAGTTTGTAACAATATTTACCCAAATATTCCCATCTTCATTGTTATCCCCATGTTCTCTTTTATAAGCTCCATTTCTGGACATAAGCCTCATCCAAGTCGGAAGGATTTGATGTCACTACTATAGATATGGAGTTACTGGAACTAGGCTCGTCGTCGGAACAACAGAGGGAAGTACGAAACTTTCAAATAGATTTCATAAATATATTGTACGCCTATCACTAGTCTTTAATATTGATATCTAAAAACAGTTACAGACATCTATCCGTGTAAATTACTTAGGGCAGATTTTTTAATCGTCATATAAAATTTAAACCCAACAAATAAATTGATACCAGACTGAAGGTATCAATTGAACTATTTTATTCAACTAACTATAATTTTTAATTTAATTTTAGTATGTGGTATAGCTTTGATAACTTTTATCAAATGATGGAAAAATCAGCCCTTAAAGCAATAGTCTTTCTTTCTTTCTTTTTCTTTTTCTAAAAGACGTTAGCCCCACACTAGGATTTTCTCCTGTATCGTGGAGGCAGTTTACAAACATAGATTGCACGAGGACAAACATCCAGACCCGGAACAATAATTTGTAGGCCATACAAATACTTGTTCCGTGCGGGATTCGAACCCGCGGCCCCCAGCGCAACAATTCATTGCTAAGCCACTGCGCCACGGAGCCGTCAAATAATGTCAATTGCTACCATATTTTAGTATTATTTATTATCAACATTTAGAAGAGAAGACTTCCAGTAGACTATTTACAATTAACTTTAATAGAAAAAAATACGATTAAAGTGAACGTGTAATTTTGAGAAATGATTCCACAATACAGTCCGCAATAACTTTCATTATTGTTGCGAACCATTTGCCAAAGAGAAAGTAAAGAAAATGTTGAGAAAGGAGGTGCGAAAGCGCTATATTTTGCTTTAGATTAACGTAAGATGAAATAGTAAAAATTTACTGTACTATTATTTGATGCCAATGCTTGATTGCATATTCAATCTATTCAGTCTTTTCAAGTCCATTGCTCGAAATTTTTTCATGGAATAAGGGTAAAAACGAGCACACAGTCTACCTGATGGTTAGTGGATGCTGTGGCCAATCGATGCGTTGTCACCGCCTGAGGACCAAGATGAAATGTTTTGTTAACATTATAAAGGGTCTACGGTTCCCTATAAACATCAGACGAAACAGCAGCATTAAGCTCCTAATTAGCACTGCTAATCTGTGAGAACGTAGTTTTCCCGGTCGAGGCAACTCATTCGTGCTTCAACCATAATATAGCTGCAGCGTGGCTCTACCACGTTAAAAACCACAGGTTTTCCAAGAAAACATGCACAAGCATTATTGGGAGATTATACACCAGTTGTTACACTCGCACTGGGAATGCTGTTACTGTCACCAATCTGTGAAAGAAGTCTAAGAAATAAATATAAAACTTTGATTAAATTTGTTAAAAAAAAAATTTGCTTATATTCGCGTAATGACATAAAATGATGTGTCTTACCTAGTTTTAAAAGCACCTCCCGCCCTTCTTTAATTGCGTGCACTATCCCCGTCACCTCTAATCCCAGCACCGCTATTCCCAAAACCACTACATTAGGAAAGACATTTCAAACTAGGTAAGGTGAACTTTGTAAAAATTAATCTGCATATATCCGCGTAATGAAATAAAGGAATGTCTTTATTTCCTTACGCAGATTAATTTTTAATGCAGATTAATTTTTAATAACTTTAATATATAATGGATTTCCGCAAAGTAAGGCCTGATTCTATTAATTATCTAAAAAAAAACTTTAGTTTTATTCAGTCACCAAAATTTAAATTTTAAATTAAAGAACACGATGCAACCATTAATGTCACAACGACGGTATAAGAACTTGATCGCAAACAAACCTACAAATGCTGTTCTGTTTTTGCTTTACATTTTTTATCTTTTGTATCTTGCGGTCGGTTGCTTTCGGAGAACCGTACTTAGTCTCCTCAACTTGCCAAGTAAAAACATTGCACGCTTCAGTGCTAGTTAGTTGATTAAAACATTAATTAAATTAGACGGCGCGCGGGCTGCGCAGGTTATATCTTGGGAAATCACACTGGTTACGGCCGCGCGACTCGAAATCATGAACGAATGCGATCGTAATGCATGCTTCGTGGATTTAGTTGTCTGCCTCTTAGTATTCTAAAAATGGAAGAAGTTAAATAAAATTAATTCATTTAGTTATATGATAAAATAAAATTTTCAATTAGGAACCGCTGCTCTAATTTAATATTTTATATTGCTTTTATAAAGGCTTAAGCAGGCAGAAGGATAGCTAGTTCGAATCCCACACGAAAAAAGTGTTTGTAAGGCATAAAAATAATTGATTGGTTTGGATGTTTGTCCGAGTGCAATTTACATAAGTCAATTATGTATATATAATATATAATGCCACAATATAAAATACTTACCTTTTTCATATTAGCCTGATTTGGTTTTTCTTTAATTTAAAACAAAATTTAAAAGAGAGATATGCGATCATTGCAATTCATTATAATCGGTGTGAGAAAATTATTTCAGTGAAGAAACCTAACATGTTAAGCTGTGTGACATAGTAGGTTTCTTGATAGATGGTATTTAGTGGATTGAAACACTAGATCCCAATATATTGGACGATGTCCGCGGTTACAACGCGAGACACTAACTCGCCTTCATAATTTCCTTTTCTCCATCTGCTATATTCAACGATATTGTTACCGGTGTACGGTACTCGTAAATTTTAAAGATACTTAATAAAACCGTGTGCATGATGCAAATAAAATCCGGCTTAATTGAGAGTTTACAATTACCTTTGAAACTGTACATCAAACGAATTATCTTTATTAATGTCCGCTACATTATTTATCTTTATTGTTTTATATGCATTGGATATTTGCGTATATATACTGCATTGCATATTTTAGTTTCAAAATATATCAATTTTACGAATAACTCGTAGTACTTAATAATATTTGACTTACACTAATTTGTACGGGCACTATACTCCTATCCCGCGCAAATGGCTAGTATCCGTTGAGTCTGGCCGCCGTGACAGAATATTCAGTCTAGAGGACTAGTAATTAAAGTTACAGCCTATATACGTTCCACTGCAGGGCACAGGCTTCCTCTCACTTTTGAGAGGGTTTTGGGACAAGGAAATGTCCGCCGCTCTGCGCTGCTATTATTTTTGTCTTATTTCTCAGGCAAGCAGGTTTCCTCATGAGGTATTCCTTCACCGCCGAGCACGTGGTAAATCAGCACTTAAAATTGCAATTAACAATTTCATTGGGGCCGGTGGCGATCAAACCCGGGTTGCTCGGGTACTGTGAAATTTACAGCGAGTACTTAGGCCCAGAGATACCACGGCTCTTTACTAGTATTACTATCTACTTTATTATTTATTTACTAGTAGGTGGCAAATAAAATATCGTTATTTCGTTCCGAGGATATTATATAAATTATTAGAAACTAAGGTTAATGCTAAAACTACCGCAGTAACGTCAAGTAAGGTTATGATTTCCTAGAGTCACGCTGCAGCAGTATTAAATTACTCATCGGGTCGTCTCAACTGGGGGAAGGATTAGGGTGTTCATAGAATGCCAGCGTAAAAGAACAGCGTATAACTGCATTTGCATATAACTGATGTCAGTGTAGATACCCGCATTCCACCTTAATCCTCAGGGAAAGCGTGTTTTGCTGTGATTATCTAATGAGAGAAATATGTTACGAACTCATAAATGATCTTATTTTTTTATTATTTGCATTTTTTTTGTCTTATTCAAATTCAACAATATATTGAGATACACTTGAATTTAATTGTTTGTATGATGTAAACCATTCAATAGAGAGGAAAATTAATATATATTTTACTCTAAAACTAAGTGCCACTTAAACTTTATAACACTTCAACAAGCAAACCATCATTATACATCTGTACAAATAAATAAAATTGGGGTGTCTGTTTGTAATGTCAAATTACAGCTTTTCACTAAATGCATATGAAAGTATATACGGTATATATAACAAAAACACAATTTTTTAAATTTTTGTCTGTCTGTCTGTTTGTTCCGGCTAATCTCCGAACGGCTGGACTGATTTTGATGGGACTCACGGTCAGACAGCTGATTTATAAGGAGTAACTTAGGCTATTTTTATTTAAGAAAAAGTATTAGGATTCCGCGCTACAAATTAAAAACCTAAATTACACGCAGGCGAAGTCACGGGGAACAGCTAGTATTATATAAAGTTGGTAATCCACTAGTTGTAAAGACAATCTACAACTAGTGACAAATATTAATAGATGCGGATTCAACACTGTGCTTGTAACAATCTATTGGGGAAGGCCTACATTCAGCGTTAGACTTCTTAATGTGTTGTAATAAACTGATAATGATGTTCAATTCATGGATAGTCAAAAAGCAATATTATTAAATCACAAACGACAACAGTATTTCAAATATGACCCAATGAATAAATTTGTAACGTATTAATGGGTTAGGATTAGGACTGTAGATTAAACAAGTCTATTCTTTTTGCGCGGAACCCTAATTCTTTTTCTAAAACAAAAGTAACCTATGTTCCTCCTATAATATCTGATGTCTGCCAGTGAAAGTCCCATCAAAATCGGTCCAGCCGTTTCGGAGATTAGCCGGAAAAACAGACAGACAAAGAAAATTTTAATTGTGTTTTTGTTATAAGTACCATATATACTTTCAAATGAATTTAGTGAAAACCTGTTATTTTGACGTTACAAACAGACACTCCAATTTTATTTATTTGTATAGATAATAGCGTATACTTGATCTGTTTTAATGTCTATACTAAATTAATATCAATATTAATAACGTTTCACTTTAACTTTCATAAGCTTCAAACAAACTTCACAAACTTGAAAATAGCTCATAGTGTCCAGCTAATATGAAAGGTTTGCATACAAGCGCCACGAAACGGGGACGCTTTATGAGAGGCTACAGAGAAGCCAGTGGAACAATACCGTCCCACAGGACACAAGAGCCATATTGAAAGCCCTGTAAAAATATCCTGCCTACAAAAGCCGGTCTAGACTAGAATGTCGCTATGTTTGAAATTAGAAGCGGTTTAAAGTAGACAATGGATTTAACCCCATTCCTATAAATAATGTTTCACGATTTGTTATAAAGGTTTTACAACTTATTTCCTATTGTTAAAAAAAAAGAACTTTAGTAACAAATCATTTTATGTGTACAGAAAATCAAAGTATTTTTACCAAGTTTTATTAAGTCACTTTCTTGTTTGTTTGTTTGTTTGTCTGTCTTTTGTTCCGGGTGGAATTTAGTAATTGAGTTTAAACTAACTTGCCGATGAGTAGAATTTTGATGAGTAAAATTTGAAATTTTCAATATAAATAGCTCAAATTTGGATGAAAATGTAAGAATATAATAAAAAAACGTACCTACCTAACGAATTTTTTTTAAAAATTTCACTTGTTCAATAGCTTTGTAGGCTTGTTTAATTAAATTTGGCCTTATTGTATGTTGTGGATAACATCTTTGCAAAGTGTCAATTATATTTTTTTTTGTTCTATTTCAGTCCAGTTATGTCAGTGTTGTGACGCATTTAATATAGCGTGTTTGTGTTATTACAGAAATGTAACATTTTACTTAATAACTGCCATTATAGAAATTGACATGGAACTATGGACGCTTCATTCATTAGTAATTTGTTTTTGGGATGAACCGAAATATAACATGTTATCAATGTCAAGCCAAATATCTGAAAAAACAAACAAAAATCTTAATTGATGTTTAGTTTATTACTTAATGGCAAGACAACGAAATAATAGTTATAAAACAAAATCTCGGATATAAATAATTTACATAGTTTATTACATCTATTATTTTGTTTTTTGCCAATGAGGGAGACAAAAGAACTATAAAAATTGTGTTAATATTTTCTAAATAAAAATATTTCTGTCACTTTATAATAATTTTAAAGACTTCATTCATTATGCTTTAGTGAATGACTTACTCTGGTTTACTTTCAGTGCAGAGCTCCTTGCTCCCAAGACGGCACGAGAGTTTTGAATTAATAATGATATAGGTTACGGCTCATGACGCCTACATACACATACGTTATACTTGGTACGAGTATTCCCTGCTGCAACTTCCTATTGACCTAAAAACGCTATATCTGAAAAATGATGAATTTCATATTCCGTGTCGCAATCGAAATATTCATTACTTCGACTATTGGCCTCGGTTCTAACGAGACGACTTTTATCTAGGTCGTCTTTTCATTTCAAACAAAATAAAAGCAATCCATTTAAAAAATATTTACATGAGAAAATGTTTTTAAGTACTGATGTTTATCAAATGTCAGCGTAATATATATTTTACTTTTAATTACTTATTCATTATTTTTACTTTTAGTCCGTTATCCATAGACTATCACTTATAAAATGTTCGCAATTATTAATATCCATATTTAAAAAGATAATTTCTCACCTCTTTCCTTCCGTGGGTGTCGTAAAAGGGGGAAATGTTAAAAGGTCCTGACCACTAGCTTTTAGTCCTGAGTTAGGAAGATATGTAACTATTTATATTCAGTGCTCCCACTCTTTAAAACTTTCGCTTTGACCTCTTTTAATTTATCAAATATCTAAAGCCTTAAAGTAGGAGAAAAGCTTGAATGCACTTTTAAAGCACTCTTTTTATCCAATAAGGAAAATCTTGATTGCATAGTACGAGTAGAACTGGTTTGAAGAACGCAACCAAATCATAAATTTGTGATTTATTTGTACCGCTTCTCACCGTCGAACGATTCAACGTAGGTCAGTCACGAACTCTTTAAAATCATAGACAAAAATAATATCTGATGTGCGTTCCTTAAGTTATAAAACAGTTTAAACAACAAAATCATTTTTATGTTTCGTCACTACATCGCATCGTTGCATCGATGCAGGAATTATTTTTCTGCCGACTTCCAAAAAGGAGACGGTACTCAATTCGACTGTATGTTTTTTTATGTGTGCTACCTCATAACTTTTTACTGGGTGAACCGATTTCGATGATTCTTTTTTTATTTGAAAGCTGATACTTCTCGTGTGGTCCCATATGAATTTGTTCAAAGTTAAACCAATATTTATTGAGTTATTTTTAATAACTTATATTGAAGTCGGCTGTATAAATTTTTTAATTTTAAATTATTAATAATTACTTTTTAAGTTGTAGGTCTCTCTTTCTTCCTAGGAGGCCGTCTGAGTAGGTACCACCGTATTTCCTATTTCTGCCGTCAAATAGAAGTGCCTGCACTGCAGTCTTCCGGTCTGAAGGGTATGGAGAGTCGGTGTCAGTACAATTACAGGCTGCGAGCCATTCCACCTCCACCTTAGTCCTCATAAAGCATCTGTAGTTTTGTTGGAAGTTGGCTGTAGATGTCCATGACCTGCAGTATCCACTAATCACCAGGTGGATTGTAAGTTCGTATATCACTTCAGTTTTAAAAAACAATACTACATTAATAGATCGCCCGGCAGACGTCATTCTGCCCTTTCTGGTTGGTGGCGCGATGAGTTTCATTTTCACACACACACACACACACACACACACTTCTCTATAGATTTTTTATACGTATATCTAAATCCTCTTTAGGACTAATAGAACCATCAGCAGTCATAATGACAATAAACTTTAAAGAAAATGAAAAACATAACCCTTTTTTTACTCTTCCATATGCGGACAAAAAGTTGCCTATATATGTTATACACTGTATAATATACAGGGTCATTTAGTGCCTACATACAACATTTCACGGAAACTCGTTCGGTAGTTTTTGCGTGAATCGTGAACACACAATTTTGCTACAGATTTATTATATGTATAGACTAGCTGTTCCCCGCGACTTCGTCCGCGTTCAATGTAGAGTTTTAATTGTTTTTGCGCGGAACTCTAATTCTTTTTCTGAAATAAAAGTAGCCTAAGTTACTCCTTATAACATAAGCTCTCTGCCAGTGAAAGTCCCGTCAAAATCGGTCCAGCCACTTCGGAGATTAGCCGGAACAAACAGACAGACAGACGGACAGACAGACAGACAAAAATTTTAAAAATTGTGTTTATGTTTAAGTACCGTATACACTTTCATATGTTTTTAGTAAAAAGCTGTTATTTTGATATTACAAACAGACACTTCAATTTTATTTATTTGTATATAGATTACAAGCGGACTTCATTGTAGTTTTATGTGTAGGTGAGTGAAGAAATTGTCCAGCTATAAAACTTTTATATTTTCAATAAACTCCTAAACTTTGGCAAAACATTACTTAGTTTATAGCAGTAGTTTAATAATATTATAAAGTTAAATCTTGTTGTATTTGTCTTACTGTGTGATATTTTACAGGAACCCCACCGACGATAGTCCTACCGCCTAACGGTGGTTACTGGGTAGATGGAGTGGACGATATCCCACCTGATGGCGAGGAGAGCGAGCCTAGAGCCCAGCCTGGCACACCCAGGCAGACGTCCAGGCGCAACATCGACACAGACGACACAGCCAAGTATTACAGGCGGTTCTTCCTAGGCAAGGTAACATGTTTTTTTATTGCGTGCTATTTTTTTATATTCTACTAAGCGTGAAATACGAGCACACAGTTCGCAGTAATAGTTATTGGATGCTTTAGTCAACAAACACTGCTCAAGTAACATTGTATTCGATTAAGGATTAAATGCAGCTGCGTTGTCAACCGGTCGAATGTCAAATGAATGATATCATTATGCTGCCTGTTATTAAATGCGAGTCTGGTGCTGATTCTGATTCTAAGGGAAATACCACCTTTTTTATCCGTGTAGTGGCGGTATAATAACATACACTACCCTATATCGTCCCTGGGTCAGAGGCGACAAACTGAAACATGGGCAGTAGCATCTTCTTGATTACAAATCAAAATGATAAAAAACTGCAGTTGCCAAACTGTCTGCTAACCGTGTGGGGCCTATGTTCAGCAATGGACCATTATAGGCTGTAATGGTGGTCCTTCTCCGTTCGAAACGACCCATACGTGCTACGACATCATCCATTATTGGCTAGTGTGATAGAATTAGCTATAGGCTCCTGGTTTGAATAGGATTAAATTACAAAGTAATGTTTTTGAAACAATAATTTTTATTTTTGAGTAAGATGTACTTTTCTGCCGACTTCCAAAAAGGAGCCGGTACTCAATTCGACTGTATGTTTTTTTTTTTTCGTTTTTTTTTTTTTATGTGTGTTACCTCAGAACTTTTTTCTGGGTGAACCGATTTCGATGACTCTTTTTTTATTTGAAAGCTGGTACTTCTCGTGTGGTCCCATATGAATTTGATCAAGGTCAGACCAATAGTTTTTAAGTTATTCTTAAATAACTTATATTGAAGTCGGCTGTACAAAATTTTTAATTTTAAATTATATAGCTATGGTGAGAGCAGACCATGTGTTTTTAAGTGACTGCGTGATCATTTCCTGCGCAGTTGATGGCTTCCTATTACATATTATAATAATTTAAAAAAAATAGATAAATATGGTCAAAACCGGTGTTAATTATGAAATTTTATATATTACATGTTTATATTGAGATATATACATGTTATATATAAATTTTCAAAACTTATAGGTGTAGATAATTAAATAGCATCTTATTATGGTTAAAATGACTTTTTTTTAAAGAAAAATGATCAAAAGACCCTTGTAAAGTTTTTTCTTGTATACATGTGCGTGTGACAGTACCATGACAAGGAGGAACTTCATAAGCATATTTTCTTATCAACACGACTAAAATTACTCAAATATGTGTTAAATTATTGTGTTTACTCATATTTTGCTTTATTTGTACATTATACAAAAATGTTTATAAAATGTACTTGCTGGACCGAAGCATATTTTTCAACCGACTTCAAAAAGGAGGTTTACAATTCGTCGGAATCTTTTTTTTGTTATGTGTTAATGTACACCGATTACTCGCAAACACCTGAGCCGATTTGAAAAATTCTTTTTTTATTTCATAGGGTATACTTCCCAGGTGGTCCCATTTAAATTTTATCGAAATCTGTCGAGCGGTTTAAAAAAAATCAACAATAAATTATATTTATATTGAAGTCGGTTGTATAAATTTTTTAATTTTATCACTTGTAAAATATTTATTGGTAGAAATTACGACCAAGGAATAAAATAAAATTTTACTTTTTAAATATGTACGTTGAATTTTTTGTACATCGTGCTATTCTTTTCCTTGTTTATACAATTCCTTTATATGTCCAATGCATAAACGTCTTTTCTGTTATTTAATAGTAATAAAATTAACAAATTTGTATACAGCAATTTCTTTTGTATATTTAAATGTCTTTTCTTTCAAAATGGAAACAACGCAGATTTCGTATTATATATATAATGTCACGCCACGCCGTCTGCAAAGAACGTGAAACCAAATCAGCTGTGAACGCAAGATATGCAAACAATTTCTGCCTCTTTATAATTTTCCCAAACACGTTGACTTATCGCATTCCCTTTGACATCGTAAACGGCGAAACAGGTAATGTCACGTCAATGTCAATAGCCATTTATACAATGACCTCGCGATCTTGTAGACCTCACCATACTTTCAAGTATCAGTTCCTTCCCGCTAGTTCTAGATTTAATGTAATGTTTTTTAATTATTACGACAGTCCATAAGTACTGGAACATTTTTGTGTAAATGTTTGAAATAAACGTTGATCAGCTTACAACTATTTAAATATTATTTGGAGACAGCCTTATATATAATTTAGTTAAAAAGATAATTTAAAACTCAATGTTTGTGACTTTTTGAAATCCATTATGAATACCTATACCTCAGCTAACAATATGTCACCTTCATAGCGAAAAGGCCCTTACACGTGTCTTAAGAAAGTTTTGTTAAGGCTCTACATGTGCAGTACTAGAATAATATTAAGATTTCCAATTCTCTTCCTTCGTGTTTTCATATAATACGCTTCTTATTTTGAGTTTTCCCTACCCTGACATAAAGCAAAGTTAAAGACGTTGTTTTATGGGCAAATTACCATTTTTTCTATTGGTTTAAGATTAGGAAGATTATAAAGACATTATTTTTTAAATATTGATTATAATATCTAAAAATTTTATTTAAATTATAACTTGATATTTTTTTTTAATTATTGTTACAAGGTTTTAAGTTTGAAATACGTAATGGACGTAAACTTCACACGATGTGTAACCTCCGTCGTGTTAGGAGTAGAGTACGTTTGATATCGCTCGGTACAGTTACTAACACGTGTGAATTCTCCCATACCCACGCCCACTAGGCTTACTTTTTCTTCTTTTTCCTATCATTATCTATCGTCTTAATTGCCAGTTTAAATATTCTACAGATAATGTATTTCATCCTTATGTTAACTATCTATTATTATTCATTAAATATTCTACAGATAATATATTATAATAATATTTTATATATTTTATTTTTAATTATATTTGACATCACTGTCGTAATCGTGATGTTACTAGGCAATATAAGGGGAAGGCCAATGTTTAACAGTGGACTTTAGATAGGCTGCAACAGTAATGGTATTTTCGTAATTGCAGGCATTGAATTACAAATGAATTTATTATTGTTTTTCAACATATTATTATGCGTAGGTAATACTTAAATTAAAAAAATAAAATCCACCAATTAAATTGGTCGCGGTGCAGCGGAGCGGTTAAGGGTCCAACCGTTCGTTACGAAAAAATCCCACAAACTACAGTGGGAAAAGTCGGCGGAGTTCAGCAACGCGGAACGGCTTGGCTTCACGCCCAGTGAGCCAAGTCTCATGCACTGCGTAGATCGGACCGATTACTGCAGTAGCAATTTGATCCATGCCCGTGTGTACTTGCCTTTATCATACGAACAAATCAACTCAACCCTACGTTATTCAAAAATTATTAAATCTGTATCGAGTTATACAATCAACAACCATACGGAATGGAGGTCTGCGGACCGTACTGAGCAGTGTGTCCTGGATTCTAATCTCAGTAATGACACTATATAGGGTTATTTTTCAAAGATTAGCCATTTTTTTGAAAATACGAGTAAATAAGGTTTCTTTCTACTTTTTTTGAAATTATGTATATATTATATATTATGAATGTGGGCAACAACAACGCCTACGCGCGCTTCTTTGTGTGCGATTCAATTCACAACTTTTTTGCCGACCGATCGTCGCTTACGAATGCGTGCATGCGTAGTAAAATCTTAGGCATTAGATATTTACGTTACTTTAGATTACATTAGATATGACAATCAGTTAAAATAATGTAATACCACCATTTGCCTATATTACTTATTCTGAACCTTGTCTCCGAATTTGGCCGTCTAATGCAAAATAACGCTGTATAATGTTTTGTTTGCTTCTTTGTGTATAAAGAGGATAAGGTTACATCTTACTACTTATTATTTATACTATATTTCACTTACTTTAGTTATTTTTTTTTAAATCTAAATACATTTTATTTTAAACCTGCTTGCCGATCAGAATTATTTCAGTTCAAAATTCAAAATTTTAGCACACGTTGAATGTAACTATTTACTCACAAGTTAAATAGGTAAATACTGGATGCGACGCAATCCAATATACAATTTGGTCGAATTCCCACGATGAATAGTTAAAATTTGCTCTATTGTACCTACCACTTTTGTATAGTATTTTTAACCAAACTAAAATTTAAGGTAAATGACCTATTACCATGAAACTAGTAAACTATTGCATGTAAGACCATACTATTCAGTCTTGAGGTGTACTAGTTAAAAATATTATGATGCCTATTAAGCATGCGACTTAATACTATTGAAGTATAAGATACGTACGTATTACATATTACTTGAAGACTTAACACGATTAGTTAAAGAGGTTTAATTGCAAAAACTTAGCGTAGGTTCATAGCTTATTCTCACCGTTCCACTGAGAAGATATTTTTCAATTTTAAGAAAATTCTTTTATATTTTAGGTAGTAAATGACCCCTTTTAGGATTATAGTAAAGTCTATATACATCACTCTGCTGGCAAAGGCCATCCCTCTCATTTCTGTATAGGTTTAAGGGCAAGGAAGAATCCGCCACGCTGTCCAAATACTTGACGGCGGATGGAAAATATATCGAAGTCCGCCAACACGTGTCGGTGTATTGTGGCGGACTTTACAACATCCCGATTTTCTTGGACATGCAGGTTACTACACAAGGTTTGCCTTATTTAATGGTTAGGTTGAGTAGACTTTTTGAAACTGGGTAGAATAATATCAATATTATACCTAAAAATATAATTTTACGCCTATTTAACAAAAGTAGGTACTACTTTATAAAGTTTGACAAAGACAACTGATTTTTTTTCTTTTGCGGTACAGTTTTCACTATTGGCCAGTAATCTGTTTTCTATTGCTGCTATCTCAGTACTAGATTAAGATTTATATACATATACTTATATAAACGGATATAAGTTTTGTTTTCAATGTTTTCATATTATAGGTATAGATTGCATTTTTTGACTTGATTAGTTTTACAAATTGTCCACTAAGTTTCAATGAT